TTGGTTTTCTTAGAAAATAATAAGTAATGGGCATCTGCAGTCTTACACCTAGTTTAGATGTGTGCCATATAACAACAACAGGCAACAAACACTGAGCCGCGGTGCCCCAGTGGTTAGAGTGCAGCACTGCAGGCTGCTTTTGCTGATCACCGACTGCCAGCAGTTTGGCAGATCGAATCTCACCAGGCTCAATATTAACTCAGCCTTCCATCCTTCCAAGGTGGGTAAAATGAGGACCTAGATTGTTGTTTGAGAGCAATATGCTGACTCTATGAACCGTTTAGAGAGGGCTGTAAGGCACCATGAAGCAATATAGAAGTGCTATTGCTAACAACAAAAATCCAAAAGCATGAACACGGTGTGTCCTACAATAGCAGGAGCTAGGGAGTGGAAGGCAGTATTCATTATGTAGATAGGCCANTTGTTGGGGGCAATATGCTGACTCTGTAAACCGCTTAGAGAGGGCTGAAAGCCCTATGAAGCGGTATATAAGTCTAACTGCTATTGCTATTGCTATCCCTTCCTTAATAGACTTGAAATGGACAAATCTTGTTTGAGAATAGAAAAGCAGAATCCCTGTTCAGCATTTTAAAAATCATGAAGGATGTGTGCTATATTATTGGAAAGGCAAAGCACACAAACTGCAAATGATATTCTCTTTGGAATATTAGAGAAACATTCTTGGCTTTTGCTGATTTTTCCAAGACCCTAAAGTAACTATAGAAGGCCTCATGTCTCAAGAATGGAGAACTAAAGAAGGGTGGTGGAAAGTTAGTTACTCGGGATATCTGTGCTTTGCTTTTAGCTCAAAAGCAGAATGGCTGTGTTATGTCCATAGTCCATGCCTTGAGTTTTGGAAATTAATTTATGGTTAGGAAGATTTTGTCATTGGTTCCTAATAATGCCACAGGGTTTAGCATGCTTGCATAAGCACTCATAGTGCCACTGGCTGTTCTAGCTATGGGGGATGAAATAGTGATCCAGAGATAAAATATTACAATCTATGAGTAAGAAAAATGCAATGTATTTCTTCATTTTTAAATATTTATATGCCATCCCTCAGAGACAATATTTCTAGGTGGCATTCAGTAATTAAGAGGCATATTATCTGAAGACAGACAACAGGGATTCCAGCCCCAAATGATTCATGTTTATGCACATTTGTGATACATGCATACACATGGGTACAGACACAAAGATGTCTGGAATATTCTTAATTTCATCCATGAGGTTCTAGGAATAGCTAACCCAAATAAAGTCATTAGGACGTCTTTGTTATATAATACTTGACAATTTCAAGACCACAGAAACTGATACACACTAAAGAGGTTCATTGTTGAATATCTTCTGTGCACAACTGTAGTAAATCATGGCCATATATAATGATAGCTTTGAGTCAGATTTGACAACTGCTGCCTGCATGGGAAGTTCATGCAGTTTCCTAGGTGGCATATTCAGAAGTGCTTTGTCATTGCCTTCTTTCTAAGGCTGAGTGGGTAGGAATGATGACAGAGGAGAATATTTGTAACTCAAGGTTGAAATGAGGGGTCCTTGGTGTTCTCTGAGCTTGGTTGTTTTCTTGAAGAAGTTTCGTTACCAAACTAGCTAATATCGTCAGCGCCCTGATGGTGTTTTCTAGTTTGGGTAATCAAACATCTGCAAGAAAACAACCAAGCTCAGAGGGTGGGAGTGGACCAAAATTACCTATCTGGCTTTCATGCCTAAGGCAAGATTAAAACTCAGATTTCCTTGCTTCTAATCTATATCTTAATTGCTAGACTAGATTGCTTAATATGGAATTAATTTTTTGAGTTTGCACAATGTACTGAATATATTGAACTAGTGACATAAACTAGGTCTTCCTTTTCCGGTAGTCTGTCTAGATCACTATTCTAGCATCTTATTTAATAAGTCAATAGTGTTCCTACTTGGAGTTCTGATTTCCTGTTAGTTTAGTTGTATTTTATCTTGTATCTGAGTTAGCTGTAATGTCAGGTATCTATCTACACAAATTACCCTGTTTAAGACCAACTTTCAATAACCAAAATCCCAGAAAAAATTAAGAAGGCACTAGAAGAAAGAATTACAATGATGGAGGTAACAGAAGGCATCAAAAGGCAAAAGAAGGGGAAAACACCAGGACCAGATAGCTTACCAGCAGAACTGTATCAAACGTTACAAGAAGTATTAAGCAATGTAATGTTGGAACTATTCAACCACTTACTAAGGGAAGCAAAGATGCCAGAAACATGGACGGAGGCATATATAACGCTTATACTAAAAGAAGAGTTAGATCCACAACATGTAAAGAACTATAGACCTATTTCACTGTTAAATGCGGATTATAAAATTTTTGCATCAATAATGGCAGAAAGAATGAAGAGACTTTTAAATAAATTTATGCACATAGACCAAAATGAATTTCTCCCCAAGACACAGATCAGAGACAATATGTGAATTGTATTGAATACAGTAGAGTACTATGAAGCCCACCCAGAAAATCAAATGGCGTTGTTGTTTCTGGACGCTCAAAAGACCTTTGATAATGCAAACTGGCAATTTATGATAATGCAACTTCAAATGATGGGATTGTCACGTTCTGGCATTCACATGGAATACAAACAGAGAGTCAGTTTGTTTGGTGAAAAACTTTACCTCTATCTAATATTACGTGATAACCAGCACTATATGACAATGATACAAAGATAAGCAAATCCAAGTCAGTTCTAACCAAGTTAACACCATCACTCATACACACACACACACACACACACACCCCATTACCCCACCCAGCTCCACCCAGATGACACCCAACCACCATCACCAATCACCATGACTGACACCCTCAGTCATACCCCCACTACTCAGTGTCATCATAGCCTCCTTCCTGGTTATCACGCATCTGAGCAGAAGAGTTACGGCAGAGTAGCAGTTGCACTTGAGTAGAAGAGTTACTTCTGAAGAGGCAGTTGCACCAAAGTAGAAGAGTTACTCTGCAGAATAGTGAGGGAAGCCTTGCAGAGCCACATGCAGCTATAGGCTCCGCCAACATCAGAGAGTCAACATTAACGTGGCAGAGTTGGTGGTGTATAAGCATGGTTGAGCAGGTGTGGCGATGGACTGGCTCCCCCCTGAATGGCAGCCCGAGGGCTGACATGCCACCCCCTACCACTGGAGAGGACTCTGGAAGACAAAAAGCACTATTAGTGGCATCCTTTATAGGTTTATCAGTGGAACCGGGCGATCAGGCGTGTAAGGTGTCTTGTTTTTAATAAATCAGTAAGGGGTAAAGCCACCTTGGTAAATGATGGTATGAACTTTTGGTAGAAGTTGACAAACCCCAAGAAGCTCTGTAATTGTTCCGAGTTCTTGGAGCCTGCCAGTCCATTACCGCCTGTACCTTTTCCGGATCCATTTCTACTCCCACCTGGGAAACTCTATAGGCTAAGTAGTCCAAACAGGTCTGGTGAAACTCACATTTAGATACTTTGACATACAACTGGGCTTTTAACAATGTGGTCAGAACGTGCCTTACCAATCTTATGTGCTGATCCATGGTCTTCGTGTAAATTAAAATATTGTCCAGGTAAACAAGTACATCTTTATAGAGATGTTCATGCAGTACCTCATTTATTAACTGCATGAACACCGCCGGTGCCCCCTGTAACCTGAATGGCATCACTTGATATTGATAGCTCCCCAGGGGACAGTTAAAGGCTGTCTTCCACTCATCCCCTTCTCGGATCCTGACACCGTAATAAGCCTCCCTCAGATCTAACTTAGTGAAACATCTACCTCTATTTCTTCCTCCTGTGTTGGAACAACCAAAGGAGTGGCCTCAGGTAGGACCACTGCTGCTGCCTCTGCTCCTTCAGACATCATTCAGACCAAACAGGAACTATGCGAAGTGAAGTATTGATGGTAGAGAACTGATATTCTGTCACGTTCCGGCATTCACATTGAATACAGACAGAGGGTCAGTTTGTTTGGTGAAAAACTTTATCTCTATCTAATATTACGTGATAACCAGCACTAAATGACAATGATACAAAGGTA